GTGTGTGTGTGTGTGTGTAGGTTGTACGTGTGTGGCTATTTTCTGCATTGTTTCTTAATTATCTGTCTTTGGCATTAGATTTTGAGCTAAATAAAGGCGTGAACTGTATTCCGTAGATTCTTGTTGATCAATGAGTTTAGAATTAAGTTTAAAACAGGAAAATGGCATCTTGGTGGAATATATCTTGCGTTAGTCTTCCTAGTTTTGATCTTTGTGTCGTCAAAATGGAGAGGATAATTCTGTTGTTTAAGAGGAAGAAAGTTTCAAATATAATAAAAAGCTAACTGTTTTTAAATTGTAGGTACTTTCTACTGTGTGTAAACTACTTTTTCTATGGAGAAACTGTCGCTGATTATTTTGCTACATTTGTTCAAAGAGAAGAACAACTTCAGTTCCTCATCCGCTATCACAGATTTATATCATTTGCCCTCTACCTGGCAGGTAAGTCAGAGACAGTATTCTATATGCAGTTAACATAATTTCCATGTTGATCTGCTATTTAAATTCATCTTTTATTTGTTGCATTTTATTCTAGCCCTTCTTTTTACTTATTTGTTCATCATGTTCTTAAATAGCAGTTACTCCCTGATAGTGCTTTATAAAAGTGCTTATTCATGGCCCCTCCATGTATTTGAAAATGTTCTTTTCACGTTGTAAGAGAGAAACACATATATAGTAATAATTAACTAAATATAATTTACAAAGAAAGTTTCATATATATGTTGCTGTCTCTGTTCCTGGAAAATAGACATTTTTCATATACAGGGGGTGCCAAACCATGGATACAACTTTTGAGAGATCTTGTTGGAAGTGAAAGTAATCATTCTCCAAAAGTGTACAAATTGCAGGTAAATCGGATGTGCACACACTTGACCAGTAAAAGTATCTTCAATTCTCCAAAAGTGTACAAATTGCAGGTAAATTGGATGTGCACACACTTGACCAGTAAAAGTATCTTCAATTCAGTGTCACAAAGTATTACACAGGTAACATCTCTTAAAATATGGGTGCATTTTTTTGGCACCCTCTGTAGAATTAATTAAACAGAGTGTTTAGTTTTCTTGGCTTGATTTATTATTATATACAACTTGGTGTATAGCGTGCTGTGCCACGTGTTTTATGATTTGAGATTAAAAATTATATTCTTAGGGTAATGTTAGAACAAACAGATTTCTTTTTCATAAAATTTTACCAATCATAAAGAAAGTCTCTAAGAAATTGATTTGAAAATGTGCTTTTGAAAAGCCAGATTGCCGATGTAATTCCTGGCCCCTCCCCCTTACTAGTTGAGTTAATGTTGGCATATTTAATTAATTTCCTCTGTGCCTCAGTTTCTTTGGAAAGCACTTAGAACAGTACCTGGAACTATTTAAATATTTGTTGCTGTTCTTTTCATTTCAAAAGAAGGAAATGAAATGGATCTGTGAGTTTGCACTTTAGCTCTTAATAGTTACTCTTATAGCTCCTGGGAGGTTCTCAGTGAATAAAATTTCCTCCTGATGGTACAGCATTTGGAAACTGAATATAGTATAACTGACTCCTTTGAGTTTCTCGTTGAACCAAAAACATATAGAGTATGTGAAGAAGTGTGTCTTGTCCTTTAGAAGGATGTCGTTTGTTCAGTGATTATAATGTTCTTCCTCGTGGTGTTCCTATTTTAATGGAGGCTCCCTCAGTTCCTAGGCCTTCTGATTCTAAAAAACCAGAGAGTGAAACACAATTTAAAATGATAATGGTAATTTTCAGAGATTTGGTGGG